AATTCTGTAATGGTCTCTCCGCCTCTCACACGCCTCCCCACGCGTCGTCCCTCGACCGGTTGAATTGAGGCGAGATTTACTTACTGTGCCCCTGTAGGGACAACGCGTAGGATTGACTAAGTGTGACCTATTCATATCTCAATCTTTACTGGTCTGCTGTTCTTCCAATACAAGCGCTCTTTGTGTTTGATGAGAAGCGAGACATGCAAATCGGCAGAAAAGGCGAGAAAGAGCATGCAATTTATCAATGGAAAAACAATTATATCTAAATATACATTTATACTAGAATATTTCCATCAATCTCAATTCTCCTTTTTTTTTGGGGGGGGGGGAGGGGGGATAGGTACTTTGTTTCATCCACACCTGTCTTTTCAACAACTGGCCCATTTTCATCCACAATTCTAGTGTGGTCGAGATATAACAGGATTGGTCCCTCTCCAAGGGGTTTCTCGCTTAATTTTCTCAGCTTATGTAGCTTAAATATCGGGCATGCCTGCTTAAGCTGCTAAAAGAAATTTAATTACCTCCTGTGAGCTTCAATATGTGAGCAGACACATGTTTACAGACATCTAATTCGCTAAGGTTAATTGCAATTAAGCGAGAATCCCCTTGGAGATCCAAAGTTAGTACGTGAATGGTCTCTAAGAGCTGACAATCTTCACATGCGTAACGTACAGTAACAAGTTACTAACACCTAACATGCTGCATTTTTTCACACACTAATGTTTTCCTTAAATATCAATATGTCATGCTGCATTTACCATAGGTATGAGCTACTTCTTCACGTGTATAACTCGACTAGCTCTTACAGACGTATTTCAAAACCTACACAGCCAGCATGAATCTTGCCACGGTAAGTGACAAAAATGAGATCTTATTTATGTAAGTCTGACATTGATGAAGCATAATTCCATTTGTTCCTCAGTCTTAAATCAGATGTGTTTGTATACCGTTTCGAAACGGGCAAATTTCCTGTATTTTTCATTCCATTTACTTATGACAACGTGTTATATATAAATATATAAGACCCCATTCCCACAGATTTTAGATCAATCTATCCCTGTGGGGAGTCTCACTAAATTACTGTCAGCTTAGCCGGCTTAAATGTCTGTCCCGCCTACTAAAAGCTGTAAGGGGGTAATTTACTACCGTGCACGCTCGGTTGACATCAATTTAGCTTGAACCCCCAGGGAGTTAGGTCGATCTAAATCTATGGGAATGCATTTTAAAGCACAGCATTCAAAAATAATATTTTAACCATCTATAGTCTCTTTCAATGAGAATCTTTATTGGAGCTTCAAATCAAAAGCTACACAGATTGTGTCTCCAAAATTTTACCAATGTATTCTATATTTTGAACAAAAATAGATTTTGCACAATATATTTTGGCTAGGCAACAAAAACACCCTTTATTACATGTCCCTCACCAAGGGACCATTCCCAGACCCTTATTCCCGTATTACTGTGGATCGATCTTTCTTCGAGGGGATTCTCGCTACATTGCAATCAGCTCAAACGGGTTAGATGTCTGTCACGGCTACTGAAGCCGCTAGGAGGTAATTAATGATCGTCCAGCAGCTTCAGTAGGCGTGCTAGACATCTAAGCCTCTTAAGCCGAGAGCAATTAAGCGAGAATCCCCTCAGAGATGGATGGATCCTGTTACATCGATCAAGGTATGGGAACCAAGTCTAAGTTTCCTCCATTTCCTTTAGGTGGTCGTTCTACTTACTGTCCAATGGCAAGTGTCTGCGCTCTTAGGTGACGCCGAGAGTAATGCGTTTGGATGGTTGGTCAATAACGCATGGGACAGGTTGAGATCGGCAGCGAATATGCCTTCTGCTACACGTGCAACGAGTAAGCCTCCTACTACTAGAGCAGCGAGGAAGCCTACTACCTCTAGAGCAGCGAGGAAGCCTACTACTTCTACTACTAGTGACGGGGGCTGTCAGTGTTCCTGTCCAGCTGATGATAAGGTGAACTGATATCTTAGTGATTCAGCTTTAAAGTTGCTGGGGGACAAAAATGATGGATGTGGCACGAGTTGGAGAAGGAGATAAGGTTTTGGTTCTTTGCCTTTGAGATTGCGCGCTTGTTTTATAACGAAAGACTTCATTAATATCTAAATACTTGCTTTACAAAAGTGTATGTTTGTTTGGTTGGTTGATTTTTTCTATATAAAAATTTGCCTATATTAGATATAAATGATGACAATGAATTCAGTGAAGTACATTATGGTCATAATAAAGACAAGACCACAATGTGTATTGCCGCGTAAATGTATGTGACTCTTGTTGTTTTACAGGTTTGGCTCTTTGCTAGTGGAGAAGGCCCTAACTTTGCTGAATATGTGTGAGTACTGTACAGCAATTTTAATTATGTCCTAAATGAATTACTGTATATCTCCATTTGTTTATCACTTTCGAAAACATGATGATAATAAATAATTTTCATTTCGTCCAGAGAGGGTTCTGTTCTCAAGGGATTCAATGTCGATATTGTGGAAAAAGGTAAGTTGTTTTCAAGTCGGATTTCAAATACTTCACACACTTGTACATCAGTAACCGAATAACTAATAAATCTTCTTCAAAAACAGATTTGAATATAAGCTTCCAACATGACGAATCGCCAAACAGCACATGATAACATTTGGAAAACTCGTCACGTTTCAAATGCATCACAGTTTCCATGTAAACTTTTATTGCTGTGTTAATGTCAGTTAATCTGTTCTAATTACAGTCTGTGCCATAGCTGGGAAGAAATGCAAGGTTGTCTTGACGGAGTACTCCGAGTGTGTGTCCAACCAAGAAGTTATAACTTTTTGGTCAGGCCCAGCAGGACACGACCGAGCAGGACGGGGTAAGTGTGGACTCCTCTAGCACTTGATTATGTCTGACAATACGGGAAAGATATATTCCATCTGCCCGACCATTCTCTTGGTTAACTACTGAATAAAAATTGTTACAATTAGATAGGTTGTTATAACTCCTTTGTAACAGTACTGAGCATAATTTGAGCAATAAAAATGCCCTGCTGGGGTGATGTAATTACACATTTTATAACGCATTTAATATCAGTGATACATTATTATTGAAGCATTGTATTAGCTAGCCCAGAAATAACTTGTCAAGTTACGCGGGTTACTGCTTGCATGTCCACTACTCAGCTTAGTCAGTGTACAAGTAAGCCCTTTATTCCTCCCTACCAAGGCAAGGCAGTGTAGCTATAAAAAAAAGTCTATTAGTCTTCCTCATAGACGTTTTGCCGTAAGTGGAGGATTCCATGGCCAGAAATGCGCAGCATTCACGCGATACGCGAGGGCGCTACAGTAGGGCTTCACGTGACTCAACTAGCCAATCACAGCACAACAATGGCATCGCACACAGACTCTGTGATAAGTGCTCAGCCCATTGTCAAGTAATGTTAGTTCATGGTAACAAGCGTCTGACATGTGCAGAGAAGTTTATTGTAATATATATTGTTCTTATTGTTACATTATTAAATCTAACTCTGTATCCAAGTAGTAACTATACTGTACCAAGTCAGGTACTGATGATGTGCAGAGGTCATATATTCCAGAATAAGCCATTACCACTAATTTATAACTTTAATTTTGTTTAATATGTTATTCATGAAAGAGTTCATGAAATATTATTTTAATTTGTTAAATCGTGATCTTATTCTTTTTATATTCAAATAATTGAATAATGTCGGTAAAATTGGTCTTCCACTTCTTATTTGCATTTTTCCTTTACTACAAGATTTTTTTGGAACAGTTGCAGCATTAAAATCTAAAATAAATAGCAATCTGAAAGAGAATTTTGCATTATTATTAAATGATGATAGGAATTTTGGATTAAGAGATTAGTTAAGGCTTCATTCACATGGAATGTCTATTTTCTAAATTCTATTTTCTATTCGCGGTATGTCTTATGATCGCGGTCAGTGCCCTGAATATCCCGCGGCGTAATTACTGGCAGCGCGAGCCAGTTACTATAAGTTACTATAAGTAACTGGCTCGCGCTGCCAGTAATTACGCCGCGGGATATTCAGGGCAC